TTTTCGCAGACGCTCACGAGCCTCGACTCGGACTATGTATGGTTTCGTGTTGGTTAAAGTTATTACTTATTGTTGTGGTGATTATAATTAGGTGAATATTATTTTTGTTTTCCTTAGGTATATGGTTCCTATTACGTTAAATGGAAATTCAATGATATCGCTTCATAATGTAGGATGATGACTAGGTAGTTTGAGTTAGGGGTACCATACACGAGACACTTTGCAGTTCACGTTTGGAGTATAATTTTGCTCATTTTCTGATTTTCTGCTTTTGAGGTTTCCTTTTTGTTTTTACACACATAACTAATCTTTGTGTTTGAGTAATGATAGGAAGAGTTCGTTTTTTCTGCTGCCATTCCTGTATTATTTTTTTCAGGCAATTCTAACTGTAACCCAACATTTATTGTTTCAGTTGGTTATTGATTGTAGATGTTGATTGAGAAGGTGTACATGGCTAATGGCAGGGGTTCTGCCATAGTTTCAGGATCGGGGTTTTTGACCCAAAATTTAGCGGTCAGGTCATGACCTTGACCTGAGGTCAACTTTTCAAGTTGACCTTTCAAGGTCAAGATATAGTTCATTTGATGTGTCTTGATGAGAGGAACACAATGTTTGAAAAAAAACTTGTGCAAGGCTTTGGTCAAAGGTTATTGCAGAAAAACAGCTTCCGAAAAAATTGGCTAATTTGGCAGTTTTTGTCCCCTGCAAGCAAAACTGTTGACGTTAGGTCAAATCTGAGAAAATTACTCAGAAATGGTGTTACTAGGGTTATCGAATGCGCTTTTCCGTGGCGCTGTAGCTATATTGGTTCGCCAGTGATGCGTTGGCTTCTTGGAAATTGTCGACGTTTGACATGAAAATCAACTATATTTTGCCTTCAATGACCTCTGGTAACCTGACCTTTGACCTAACCAAAAAAATGACGAAGTGATTTTGTCATTTTATTGTCGCTGTTTCGAACACCGCCTTCAACGAATCGCTAAGTGGCCAGGAGCCGAGTTAGAAGGGGGTGTTCAAACATCAAACACGCCCCCCCCCCCTTCCCAAGCAGGGCATGGAAATCCAGAACCCCAACGGGGCGCGGGTTAAGTGTATTCTGTTTTTTACTAAAAATAAGCTTAAAGGATAAGGCCTAATAAATGTTTTTATAAGTTACGCTTAAAATGTGAATCACTTTGCTTTCTTACCAAGTATTTGTTTTTCCCTCAAATTTCATGAACATGTTTCCTTTTTGTAAGAGCCCTCCGATTTGCCTTTCTTGAAACTCGGAAGAAGGAAAGTGAAATTGTCACGAGAAGCTAAGGAAAAAGGGCGTGTTATGTGAAAATAAAGTAAATGGTATTTTTTGAATATTTTAGACAGAAAGTAGAATTTGATTTAACATTTAGACGGATTATTTGTTTTTTTTTGTGTGTTTTCCCCGTCAAGGCTTCTTCTGTTACCGTTTAAACCAGTAAATTGTGTGTCAATATATTGCGTTTGAGCACACAGTTGTATATCTTAATAAGCTGACGGCGGAAACAGTTTAAACGTTAACGGTTTAGCTCGTTTTTTATTGACAGGATAGGGTCATACTGAATTACGTTAGATAACGATGGAATCACTAAGTGTTACGGATCGTGTAAAATTAGAAGGTAAAATATTGGAAGCTATTGCAGATGTTGTGGAAGAATCCGAGGACATTGAAAATTCTTTATCTGCAAATGATGACAGTTCAAAATCTTTAGAATATTCGGTGGAACAACGTTGTCCTTCGGTTACATCAGGAATGAGCAAATACCATTCAGTTTTTGAAGAAGCGAGAGCAGCAGGGCTAGCTGCACGATTGGAACTAATGAAGAAAAGAAACGCTCTTCAAAATCATATACGCGAACAAGAATTGAAATTGGCCGAAATGAACCTCGAAATGGAAATCGAACAGGCGCGAGCGCAGAAAGCAGCATTTTCGAAATATGATCTTGTTCAAGAACCAGCATCCACGACGCCTAAAAACGAGCAAAATGAGCGTCGGACTAGTACAGCTATGAGTTTTTCGGCCGAACATACCGACTCGAATCATGATTACCGAACGACGAGACGACACACACAAGACGCGAAAGAGTGCTTGGAGTTGGTACGGCGGATAAATCTGCCCAAAATGTCAATGGATAATTTTGACGGTGATCTCATGAAATACGGCAGTTTCATTCGTCAATTCGAAAGCAATATTGCATCGAAGACCGATAACGAAGAGGAGAAGTTGAATTATTTAGATCAGATGACGACCGGTAAGCCAAATCTAATTGTAAAGACCTGCCTACACCTGCCACCCGGAGAAGGTTACCTAGAGGCCCGAAGACTTCTCGATAAAAGGTATGGAGATAGCTCTAAAGTTGCGGCGTCACTAGTCTCACAGATTCTTGCTTGGCCATTCGTCCATCCAAATGACGTCAATGGACTCGATGAATTTTCAATATTCCTGCGTGGCTGCCTTAATTCACTGAAAAGTATTCCACTTGGCATGTCGGAAGTAGACGCAAGAACCATCCGTCAGATCTTAAGCCGTTTGCCACTTGATTTTACTGAGAAATGGCGAAACGCTGCCGATTTAATAGAAAGTAACGATAATAGAAATGCAAGTTTTGAGGATTTTGTACTGTTTGTCGAAAGACAAGCGAGAGTGTCCGGAAATCCTTGGTACGGAAAGCAAATGTTTCCAGACTCTTCTTCCTTTTCTCAAAGAAGTACATTTCCACACGTAAAAACCATGGCAGGAAGTACCCATCCGTCGGTGTCTCCCTGCGGCTACTGCAAACAGTCACATGATACATCAGAATGTACTGTATTCGCCCAGTTACCGCTACATGAAAAGCAGCGTTTTGTAATGAAGGCGGGTCTTTGCTACGGGTGTTTAAAGAAGGGCCACATATCAGTGGCATGTCCTGAAAGAAAGACGTGCTCTGTCTGCAATGGTCGTCACCCAAGTTCGCTGCATAGAAAGGACCATGACAAACATGAAGGTGTTGTGTCACTACATGCTTCACCGACACTGGTCCCAGTGCAGGGCTCTAAATTGCACGTCGTTCCGTTACTGGTAACTTTGGGAGGAAAGACGGTTAAGACAAATGCCTTTTTGGATTCTGGTTCGACACATTCCTTCTGTTCACATTCGCTGTTGAAGGAGCTGCAATACCGACCCGATGAAGCTATAACTATGTATTTAACCACTGTTCGAAATCAAGCTCGTCTCCCAAGCCATGTGGTTCGTGATGTACTCATCAAAGATCTTAGTAACACCTTTTGCCTATCGTTGCCACCACTGCTAACATTAGAACATATTTCAGTCAGTCGAAACGATTTTCAGACAAGCCGTCATATGTACCAATATCTTCGCGAGAGAGGAGTTCAAATAGCTGAGGTGGAGGGTGACGTGGGTCTTCTTTTGGGAACAAATGCTGCCTTAGCAATGGAACCATTGGAGGTTGTTAACAGTAAAGACGGTGGGCCATATGCAATAAAGACAAGATTTGGTTGGATCATCAGTGGAGGAGAAAACGTTGGTAATCCAAGCGTCAACAGTATGTGGGTAACCAAAGAGTGGGCCAAAGTGAAGGACACATTGGCTACAGAGGAGAGAGGACCATCGGTTGAGGATAGGCTTTGGTGCGCTCATGTTGAGGCTTCATGTACTAGAACAGAAGATGGGAATTTTCAAATAGCCTTGCCCTTACGAGAAGACCACCAACGCAAGAAATTAAAACTTAGCAAGTAGTTACGAGCGAGCGAGCGCAGCGAGCGAAGCGAGTCTTTTCAATATAACGGAAAAATCTCAGTATGAGCGGCCCGGCCCGGCCCGGCCCGGCCCGGCCCGGCCCGGCCCGGCCCGGCCCGGCCTGTAACGCTTTTGAGAGGCTTATATCTCAGCAACCGCTGGACCGATTGGCCTGCGGTCTTTTTTGCTGGGTAGCCCCATCCCTTCTACCCCGTAATCGACTACTTTTGATACACCTCAGTGACCGTCGTGGCACGTGCCACGTGAAAAGTCAAGGGTGTTCAAGCTGTTTTGCAAAAGTAGTGATTTTCATAGGCTCATATCTCAGCAGCCGCTTGGGCGATTGACTTGCGGTAATTTTTGTAGGGTAGCAGCATCCCTTCTACCAAAAATAGGATACTCTCGACGCATGTGGGTCACCTCCAGTGCACGTGCAAAATACAACAATAAGAGGTGTCAAATTTGTTCCCATTTTAATAACTCGGTAATTACTGGGGCGATTTCGCTGAAACTTGGCATACAGGTAGGCACCCACCAGGCAATGCATTCCCATGTGTTGCGGTTAAGGTGCTACTGCACGTGCGCACGTGCAGGGGGCGCTTCCAGATCTCGAGAACGGCTGGGCCGATTGCGCTCAAATTTGGTACACGGCTGGGGACCAGTTAGTAGGGTGCCGTGCAAAAGTCAGTTTGGACCCCGTTTGCACGTGCGCACGTGCAGATTGCCGCTTCCAGATCTCAGGAACGGCTGGGCCGATTGCGTTCAAATTTGGTACACCGCTAGCGACCGGTTAGAAGGGTGCTTTGCGCAAGCCCGTTGGAAGTACCCTCTCGCCCTTCCGCACGTGCAGGGCTCACTATCTCGCTCGCTCGTTCTTCGCCCAAAAGGCGTTTTACTGGTTTTAAGGGCGGGAGTGTAAGAGCCCTCCGATTTGCCTTTCTTGAAACTCGGAAGAAGGAAAGTGAAATTGTCACGAGAAGCTAAGGAAAAAGGGCGTGTTATGTGAAAATAAAGTAAATGGTATTTTTTGAATATTTTAGACAGAAAGTAGAATTTGATTTAACATTTAGACGGATTATTTGTTTTTTTTGTGTGTTTTGAAGAAGCCTTGACCCCGTCAAGGCTTCTTCTGTTACCGTTTAAACCAGTAAATTGTGTGTCAATATATTGCGTTTGAGCACACAGTTGTATATCTTAATAAGCTGACGGCGGAAACACTTTTAATGATTGCATTTTTGTCATTTTTCAGGAGAGCTGCTTGATTTGGTTACACTCATGGACTGGCAGTGGTCAATCCCTGGTGAGGGCAGCATTTCCTGCCCCCTGTGTCACCAGCCTGGCTGCTTCCCATCTGCAGAGCGGCTACTGCACGCTCTGCGGGCGCTGGCCAGTGGGCCATCCTGCTGTGGTATCTGCGGCACTCAGCTGGCCGACCTGCCATCCTACCTGCAGCACCTGGCCAGGCATCTGTCCCCGGCACTACACACGGCTGCCGCTCCCCGTCCTGCCGCGGACCGGAGCTCGGCGCCTGTCAGCCCGTCCGCCTCCCTCTCCTGTCCGCACTGCCCCCGAACCTTCAAAACGGCCCGCGGCCGCGCCAGTCACATGCGCGCCAAGCACGCTTCGGAGACCGAACCGGCTGCTGAGGGCTCACCGGCCGGCGGCTCGCTGAGGTCGGCTCCGTCGCTAGTACCGACGGACCCGCGTGGGGGCCTGCCGAGGGGTGCGGTGTCAGTGACGGCCGGCCGCCCACCGCAGGCGGCAGGCTCTTCCAGCCGTCTACACGGCACCGTGGCTGATTGGAGCAGCCTGGGTCCGACACTCGGCGCCGTCACTAGCTTACTTCCGCCGCCACCGACCACAGCTGCCGTCGGACCGCTGCAGCCACCGATTTCGGCTGCCGTCGGACTCATAGCTCTGATGAACGATACCGGTGGGCCTCCGCAGCCATTCACTGTCCCCACCGGACCCCCAGAATCCTCACCGCTGACGACCGTCACCAGCGGGCTCCATCTCACTCTGAGCTCCACCACCAGCAGACTCGTGCTGCCCCCGACTGCCGCCGCCGGTGGCCTTCTGTCCCCTGGTGCCGCCGGTACAAGAGGTCTCCTGTCTCCGGGTGCCGCCGGTACAAGTGGTCTCCTGTCCGCTGGTGGCTCCGGTACCAGTGGCGCCGTGTCGCCGCCGGCGCTGCTGGCCCGCCGCGGGGACGGCAGCCGCCGGCTGCGGCGGCTGCTGCAGGCCTCGCACGCCTGCCAGGACTGCGGCCGGGTGTTCCGGCTGCGGCCCGGCCTGGCAGCGCACCGGCGCCTGGCGCACGGTGACGGTGCGTGCGAGCAGTGCGCTGTGTGTCAGCGCCGCTTCACCAGCGGCCGCCGCCTGCAGAGACACCTGGCGGCTGCGCACGGACTCACCGGCACGGTAAGGACGCCGCCACTGGCCGGTTTTCTGCCACGATATCGCCATAAAGTTGTAGCACAAGTCGGAAATTGTTAAGTCAATACTCTCCTAAAGCTGTCTTCAGCTGTACTGTAGTAATTTATCCGAAACTATTGCACACCAACGTTTTTTTTTGCACTTCGTTGACTTCGCAGTCGTATCTTCGGGTGCTAGTTAATTGAGCCTTGGCTTATCGTTTTTCGCTGCTGCAGGATCATGCTCCATCCACTGACGACAAAACGAAAGAGAGCTCGGCACACGAGTGTCCCACCTGCAAGAAGACGTTCACTACCGCGCAGTTTCTCAAGAAACATATGAAACTCCACACCGGTAAGACTTATCATATCGGTCGAGTGACTTTTGTAGGCGTAGCATGAGTTATTACAAACCTTATCAGGGGTCGGATGATGTTCGTGCCAATTTTGTTATGATTGCGCAATGTTTATCGAACGCGTACATTGGCTCGCTATTTGACATTTTTAACACAGGAAAGTCCACATTTTAGGTCGTTTTTCTCACCGTGTGTTTGCTCCGTGCTCCTGCTAGTAGCCTGGTCAGCTGGTTACCTGACCTCCCCCCCCCCCGTTCCCGGTGGCAGGTGAGACGCCGTACGTGTGTGAGGTGTGCGGCCGGGCCTTCTCCCTGCAACAGTCCTACCACAAGCACCAGCAGTACCACACGGCCGTGCGGCCCTACACGTGCCCCCAGTGCGGCCGCGCCTTCCGCGAGTCGGCCACCCTGCAGAACCACATGCGGATCCACTCCGGGGAGAAGCCGTGGACCTGCGAGACCTGTGGTGGGTCTCAGAGGGGGGCGGAGGGGGGAGGGGCACCGAACGGCGAGTGGGCTGAGCGGGAGCTGACCCGCCTCAGGGGCGGGCTTTGGGATCGTGGTCTTCCGCAACTGTACGTGAATGTGTGGTTAACTGATATTGGACAATAACTGTATGACCTTCCGGCCTCTCGTTGGGCCTCAGCTGGTGGTTTTGCATAAGCTGGTGGTTTTGCATATGTGCTTTTTGTGTCCAGTTTACTGTCTAGTTAATAAGTGCTGTTTGTTAGAGACACCTTGTATTCGACTGAGAAATGAACCGACGCCTCGGGTGTCGCGGTGACGCTCGGTGGTGGCTCGTGGGATGCCGGGAAACGACCCGACTGAGAAATGAACCGTCGCATGAGCAGGGACGATGCTGGGCCGCGAGTCGGCACGCATCAGGCCGAGCCGGTGTATACTTAGGCGCTAGCGGCCGCATAGGTAACATAGCCAGTTGTCAGTTGTAGAGGATTTCTTACCGGTAAAATATTCAGTTTCAAATTATGTTCGGTAAATACATGGAAATTGTATCCTTGTACTTTCTTCGAGTTTGAGCGTTGACCAGCATGTGCGTCTTTGCGCATGTCTATTACATTGACATCGCATGTCCACTACATTGGCATGTTGATGTTTCCTAACTGACTATGCTGCCCGCACCCCTCCCCAGGAAAGTCGTTCCGTCAGCGGATAACGTACGTGGTGCACCGTCGGATCCACACGGGCGCGCTGCCCTACACCTGCGAGCTGTGCCACAGAGGGTTCAGATACAAGGTGAGGGGTGGATGCAGCACACGTCCGGGGGCCACCCAGATCCAGAGATGTTCCTCGGGCTGCGGAGCGGCTTTCCACCGCCTGCCACCGTAGCTGTGTGCGGGAGACAGTGTTATACTGGTCCCGGCGGAGACCAGGAGTGGACCGTTGGATTTCACTAAACACCGATCAATGGGAACAGATGGATATGCAGGCTTTGTCGGTAACTCGGTATTAGTCGTAGGTACGGCTCAGACCTGACCCTGTCAGCAGAGTACAGCCCTGGCTGGCAGAGTATCTTCAGCTGGCCCAGTAGTGGCGTACACTTCCCCAGCGCACAGCTGTGTGCGTTTCCTTCGTCGCAGCCAACCCAGAGCATGCTGTGTGTTGAAACATCATTTTGTCGTTTCTCCCCTAACTCCAATGTTTTTCGTTCTTCCCATTGTAGGGAATATCGGTATTCTATACTTATGCCGATCTGCCTTCTGTTGATAATTTTTACTGCATTTGGCTTCCTTTATGTGAATCGTCATCTTGCGTGGCTCTTATTTTGAGCCTTCCATCGTAACTGATAATTCCTCTAACTCTAATGAATTTCAGTGCTACTTTTATCAGCAATTCTTCTTTGTCATGATTTGACGTTAATTCTAACAGCATGGAGTTCCAGCCTAGCGGACCCGTCTATTCGTGTGTGTTACCGTTTGTTGCTAACCACTCCCCACCTTTAACCGCAGCTGAACGCGTGTGGAGGCTGAGCGACCGAGAGCGGTACAGGTGCGTACAAAAATGTCTCCATTCGCCTAAAGTCAACCATTAGCAGCAGTTAATTAATGCCTTGATATTCGTTAGTCGATTGTTTTGTTTTAAAACTTTCGTTTCGGTTCGCTTAATATAAAAAAACGCACACCTTCGTGCATCATCGGGCCAAATAGGTGTGTTTTGTTAGGTTAATTTGTTCTGCAAATCGGTCGATTTATAGCTGTCACTGATTGAACTGATTAACTGAATAAATCATTTGCATTCACGCCCAATTTACTGTACCAAAGTGCGTTATTACAGCGCGCAATAGCCTTTGTTTGTCGTTCTGAATGGCGTGTCTGAATTCTGTTGCCCTTTCAGGTGAGTCTTCGCGCTCACAAGTGCACCCAGGGTGAGCCGGTTCGGGACGGAGCCGGTCCGTCGGACTCCGGTCAGCAGCCCCCGCCGGCCGCCGGCCCATCGAGTCCCCTCGCCATCGCCGGACCATCGGGAGACGACGTGGGACCGGTGTCAGCACCTATAGCAGGCTCCCCCGCCGGCAGCGCGGGGCTGGCTGCTGCCTCGTCCAGTGGCACCCAGCCGTCACTGCCAGACAAAGTCGGCAGACATCTACCAGGCGCAGTGAACAGCCAGGTACCGGATGTAGTGAACCATCAGCGGGCAGGCACAATGGACAGTCAGGTGCCTGACGCAATCAACAGCCCATTGTCGGACACAATCAACAGCCCTTTGTCAGACACAATGAGCAGTCCGTTACCAGACGCGGCCGGCGGGCAGCTGCCCGGCGGTGTCAGCGGACAACTGCCGGGCAGTGTCGGCGGACAGCTGTCCGGCGGTGTCGCCGGGCAGCTGCCGGCCGTGGTCTCCGCTCAGCTGCCGGACACGGTAGGCGCTCAGCTGCCGTACCGCCCCAAGGTATCGCGGGTGCTGCTGCGGCGCCTGGTTCATAAACTGCGCGCGCGGCAGGAGCGCAGCAGCAGCCGGCCGCCGGCCGCCGGGCCGGACAGACCGGAGGCGCGGCAGAGCGGCGCCGGGCTCGGAGCACTGCCAGCTCTGAGCCGGGGACCGGGCGGGTGGCAGACGGCGCCTGTCACCGGCCCGGACGGAGGGGCAGCTGTCTGTCAGGGGAGCCCAGTCCCCACCGAACCCCACAGTAGGGACGGAACTGGGACGGACGGCGCTACTTCTGCCGGCTGCCTGGGCGGCGGAGCTGCTGCTGGCCTGGGCAGCCCGGTCCCTGCCGAAATGGGCGATACGCAGCGTGGCAGTGACGCCGTTCCAGAGGGTATGTCGGTTGATGTACCCAACCATCCTGCAGTGCTGGCTCCCGAAGTGCTGTCGGAGATGCAGTTGGAACCCGCCGCTGAGGTGCAGATCGGACCCGTATCGGGGCTGGGGCTGGAACCCGCCGCTGAGCTGGATCTGGGATCCGCGCCGGACCTGGACCTGGACCTGGACCAGCTGTTCGAGTTCCCGGTGCCGGAGCGGCGCCCGTCTCCGCTCTCCCCGCTACACAGAGCCATCGAGAGCGTGGCGCGAGAGCTGGCCAACATCCCGCTGCACTCGCCGCCGCCGGCCGCGGCTGGTTCACCGGACCCTGAGAGCCTGCACGGGCAGGGATACCGCCCGGCGGAGCCCCCGCGGCAGCAGAGCGGCGCGCCGGGACCCTGGCCGTCACCGACACCGGGACTAGAGGAGCCGGCCGACCTGGACCTGCTGCTCAGTCAGCTGTTCGAGCCGTGAGCCGCGGCTGCAGCAGGCCTTTGGTCCAGAATGTTGGAGTGTTGACCGCTAATGAACTAGGTCAGTGATTTGGCCGGAGACTGCCGTCGACTCAGCTGTCCTGCACCTAACTATCACTCAGCAAGCCGGCCTGCCCTGGACGTATTGCCTAGTCGCTACGGAGCCCTGATCACCACCAGTCTCTCGTGTTGTAGCTGGCTTTGTGTGAGCTGCGGCAGAGCTGTCACGGTGGGCCGTCTGACACCGTATCTCCATGTGTTTGTTTGTGTTTTACGCGGCATGCACGGACCTGGGCAGTCTCGCACGTCCTCTTCGTGAAGGCTGCGTACTTATGGCACTGTTAGTACTGTGAATAGCCCCAGTTACTGCCCTAGTCAAGTCTGCCCAAGTTTTTAGGTACATGGCTCCGTCGTTCTCATGATTCACTGAAAGTCCGTTTTGCTGGAGCGTGGTGTGCATGTGTTTGTTTTTTCCCGACGTAACCGACATTAGGGCCGTTAGTAGTCCTGTTTCAGCCCACACTCGCCAACGCTGATGTTTTTACATAATTTTGTATTTATCTATTTTCATTCATCTGATAAATACAACAAACATAACAATCCGAACAAGCTCATAAATCTGTGTCGGCGTTCAGGCGTAACAACGGGCGCCAACAGCAGTCGGCCTTTGTTGCAGTCATATCGCAGTGATTCTGTGTGCGGACGGCGGCACCACCAGGAAATAGCGAGCGTCTAGCGGGACGAACATCATCAGCAGACCGCTGGAGCGGCGGGAGGGAAACGGTACTGAAAGCTACCGGAAATCAACGAAACAATCACTGGTAATCTACCGGGAACACATCATCAACTGTGGATAAAAGGACCATAATAAACATAAAGCCTGGGGTAGGGAGTCCCGAATGTATCGGGTAAACATAGCGTGATTGCATAAACATAAGCAGAGCTGCCAGTGCGCAGAGACGCCAGCCTTTAGTCATATGTCATACGCGTAAACATAAGGAGAACTGTCAGTGCGCAGAGAGCCAGCCTTCAGTCACATGTCATACGTAACGTTCGTAGCGCACCAAGCGCAGCGCACGCCTCGCTGCAACTGTGCAGGGCGTGTGCAGTGGAGGAGTCGACTGCCCTCTGCCCTTCCCGGCCGGTCAACAACAGACCCACAGCACGGCCGGCGGAGCCTGCACGCCCGCATTTACACAGCCGCCTCCGCCGCTAACACAGGCGACTGACTGACTAGATACCGGCCTCCGGCCGGCCGGGGTGCTGCGGAAGGGCCGCCTAGCTGGCCGGCTGGCGGCGGAAGCTGCCGCTGCGGCCCAGCTGGCCGGGCCGCAGGTCCACCACCATCACGGTGATGTTGTCCAGCGAGCCGCGCTGGTAGGCCAGCAGCGCCAGGCTGCGCGCGCCCAGGTCCGGCTCGTGCAGCCGGTCGCGGATGTGCTGGACGGCCTGCTGGCCGGTGGCGGCGTCCCAGAGGCCGTCCGAGGCCAGCAGCAGGAACGGCGCCGCGTGGTGGCGCACGCTGACCGTGCTCACGTCCGGCCGGCAGGTCAGCAGACGGCGCTCCTTGAACGGCAGGTCGCCCAGCGCCCGGCTCGTCGCCAGGATTCCGTTCACGCGCCACACGCCGTTAAACGTCACGAAACCGCCCGCCTCCGTGATCCGCTTCTTCTCTGCCAGCTGGTGAGAGGCAGGGAGATACGTCAGCCAGAGATATCACAGGGAAGACGTTAGACAGGGCAACGGAGATACGCCAGCGAAAGATAAGAGAGGAACGTCATAAGAGAGATAGTAGGGGAGATACGCAACGGAAGATAAGTCGGGAGAGATACCGTAAGGAGACATGTCAGGGGAGACAAGGGAGCTGGGAGCCGGACGTCAGAGGTGACATGACTGAGGGGATACAGATCGGGAGACATGACAGGAGACCGAGAGTAATGATAAGCGAGGAGAGGAGCCAAGACAGGAACACCATACATGGCAGGATAGCTGCTGGAGCTGAGACATGTCATGAAAGACACACGAAATGAGACATCACAAGACGACATCCTGCCGGGAGGCATAGCAGCGAGGTACAGCAAGATACACCTGAGAGACACGTCAAGGGACCTTGTGTCGAGAGGAACGTGGCCATGAGATGGTAAACGTTACAACAAATCGGAAAAGCACAGGATTATCGGACACCAAAAGTGAACATGTCATGGTGACTCTGCGGCCTGCAGCTGCATAATGCAGGGACTAGCCAATAGCCACAGCCCCGGACCGAGTCGGGCCCCTCACACAGGCCCACCATGGCCGATTCAGTCGGTACTCGGTAGATTGTCGCTCAATGATTACAATGTACCTGGTCGGGCTTGTGGTCGGTGGTGAGCGGCACGGCGTTGCCGCGCGCGTCACAGAGCACGGCTCGGGAGTCGCCGCAGCTGGCCACCACTACCTGGTCGCCGTCCACCAGCGCCACCACCGCCGTGGTACCTGACGGAAAATTGTGTGATGTAAAATACAGCATCGAAACAGTCCATGCAGCCTCTGATTGATGGAAAATAGTAGCATGAACGAGGCAAGGACTGGGTTACCCTTGCTCTGCAGCCGCGCGCCCCTCCCCAGTGCCCTCTGACCGGCGATGTTGGCCTCGCGGCGCGCGGCGTCCAGCAGTCGGTCGTCCACCTCGCTGAACACCTCCTGCAGCACTCGCGTGTAGTTGATCTCGCCCAGGAAGTTGACCAGCATGTCGCCCTGCAGGCCGCCGCGCGCCGACTCGGCGCGGCGCGGCGCGCGCGGCCGCTGGTACGCCTCGTGGCAGCGCGCCGGCGCCGCGCTCGGCCGCTCAGCCGGCTCCGGCGGCGGCTCCACCGTGATGAGCGGCGGCGGCGACGGCCCGTCCGGGCTCGCCGGCTCGCCGCTGAGGTCACCTGGCGCCGAGGCCACCGGGTGCAGCGGGGCCGGCGCCGCCAGCAGGCCGGATGGACCGGCCGGCTCGGCGGGCTCCGACGGCTCGGCCGCGGGAGCGCGCTGCGCGTGCAGCTCCAGCAGTTTGACCTTGAGCGCCGTGATCAGGTGGTCCTTAGTGTACTCGGCGGCAAACTGCAACAGCAAACATCAGCTGTTGTCAGTGCCCATCATCCATGAGGTGAAAACAAAACATCACAGGGAAAAGCTGGAAATTCATTAAAAAAAAAACGTACAACAATATTCTGGGCAGAAGTAGACGGAATAAGAGATAAATAGTTCGTGCATTCTCACAACATAAATATCACAGAGAACGGGAACATAGTAAGAGCCACCGTCGGTAAGCTCCGGGAGATAGGTGAGGGGTGCTGTGGCCGTCGTACCCGGTCCGTTCTAGGGAGTGCGTCGTCCCCCGCGATCCCCGGTAACTCACGTCTCCGCCGTGTCCGTCGTACACGGCGTACACGGACACGGCGCGGCCCGACGGGCCCAGCGCCATCTCCTCCTCGGCCGCGAACCGGTCCTCCATCTTGGCGCGCAGGCCCTGGATGGCGAAGGCGGTGGCGCGCCGTCCGCGCCACTCGGCCGGCGGCGTCTCACCGCACAGCGCGGCCGCCATGTCTGTGACGCGGCGCGCGCCCGGCAGCGGCACGCGCGCCGCCACCGCGCGCCAGATGCTCACCAGCGCCGCGAACGAGCGGTCGTTGATGAGCAGCGTGAGGAAGCCAATGGCCACGGCCACGCCGACCATCTCTGGGCGCAGCAGGCAGAGCTGCAGCAGCAGCAGCACGCTCTCCAGCAGCGTCTCAGCGCGGCCCAGCGCGCCCCACGCGATCCCGGCCAGCAGCTGGCCGTGGCTGGCAAAGAAGCTGCACAGCACCTCCGACTCCACAGCGTCCTCCATCACTGGCTTTGGTGTGTTTGTTCAGGGTGAGGTGACACTGGGCAAGCCCCTCTAATGTTGTTTTTGTTTTATTTGTGCTGCTAGTTCATAGCACAGTTTTCATCGCCTATTGGAACTGATAAAACAATCAGAGTGTTTGAAACCACTGTTGGAGGCAGAGTTCATCCTAAACAGGTGTCTTCTCTCCGATGTCATGAATTGACTTGACAAAAAAATTGTCCAAATCACTGAACTTCACCAGAATCTGCAAAAGAACAGAAATGAAATCATAATCAGTTTGAATGAGATGCTTTCAGAATCCAAATCTTTATCCTGAACATTACAATACATAGAATTGTTACCATATACCAGAGTACATGGATTTTCTCTTATTTAGAAACTAGTCCAAAAAGATGAATGAGTGGCATAGGGGACAGGTGTCACACAAATCAATGAAAACCCAATGAAATGTGGTCCTGTTGTGAACAGTGAAAGACAACGACTCAGCAATCAGGTCAGTACTCAGTACCTGACCTTGCCTGTGCCTGGTTCAACTGTGATAGGTAGTTTAAATCAAAAGGTTAGTGTATTGCAGGCAGATGGCAACATAGTCCACCCAGGTCTTACACAGACCTCTCTCACCAGGGCCCAATCTTACCAATACCATAAATAAGATTTGGCAGCACTTGCCGGAGTTAACAGCTGCACAGCACTGATATCAAAGATATCCTTTTTATTTACATCCAGCTAATCTTGTCCTATGAATGATTTTGATAGCATGAATGATAATGAACCTTGCCCGAACAATTGAGTAAATGAATGTTGAATAGTTCTAAATGTCACCAAATGCCATGAATGTGCATTCAAGGCATTTGGTAAGATTGGGCCCAGGTGGCCACTACCCACTGTCTGAATACAGAAATACAGGTCAAATGATGCAGAGCTTCACACCCACATATACCTACTTGCCACCACTGAGCTCAGTGGCGGCAGAACACCTTCAATTAAGGGGGGCACTGCCGACTCTTGGCCCCATTCTTTCCATTCAACGCTAATAGGGTTGATGTTAAAATGCCAAAATCAAAAGGGGTACGGTGCCCCCCCCCTATTCTGCCGTCTATGGATGAGCTTCAAGATACATGCCTTATCCACTGGGACACAGAAAGACAAATGCATGATATTAAATACCTACACGTCGAAATACTAATGAATAAATACACTCCAGTCTCCAGATTACCACACTACTCAGCATTGGCAATTCAATGCCATGGGAGCTCGAAATCAAGTTGGGAAATCACAGCGATGGTATGACGTGGTAGAATGACACAGAAAAATCACTTAAAGGGACCCTCCCACCTTCAAAAAAGTTAATGAATTGGCATGAAAGTGATGTCGCTCGGTTCAGAAAGAGCAAAAACGAATATCTACCAAATTTGATCGAAAAATATTCACCGGTTTTCAAGATATTAGACTTTTACTTTTGTTTACTTTTTGGGATCTCCGCTGTTCCTAGCGACTTTATTTGAAAGTGCGGCATTTGTTGCGCGCAAAGCAGCATATACCACCGCGTGCTACAAAACGTTTTAGTCAAACATTTACGGACGTTCGAAAGCCTGATGACGTCATCAGATTCCCGTAATGGTTAAGAGATAGGGACCACGCTGGTCCCACCCTGCAAGTAAAGGGAAGAAATTTCTTGAACACCATAAAGCTGCGGGGGTTGCGACCAGGATAAATGGTGGTTTCTGAGCCTGGCCGCAAACTTGGCTATCTCAACTCAAAACTAATGTTAAGGTGGGAGGGTCCCTTTAACTCATGAACGAATTGAAAATTAAAAATATCAATAAGCAGCTTACGCTAAAAGCTAAAAAAATTCCCTAAGCCCTGATCGGCGGCCGGCTAGTACTCTTGCCCGCCAGGGAGACACCGGTTGGTCACGTGACTCGAAAACAAAAATCAGCTGATAGAGTGGCGGAATCGCCGTAATCAAACACGAATAATTCCGGACGATAGAGCGGCAGTATAGGAGCTTTCTTCACAACAGGCAAACATTGCAATGTTTTATCATTCTATGATCAAGAAACGTTCATAAATCATATATTTCTTTGATGATTACTGCCGCAACCGACACGCACATATCGTAGCCAGCGCATAAAGCTGTGCTTTGCGATATTAAATGTAAAGAAAAGCATTCTATATCTTGCTTCAACCTTCTACTTACGCTTTTAAAATTACGACAGCGACACCATACGGCCTATCGACGCTATGCAACTCCATGGAGTGTCCGGCCGCACTCTGCCGAGTGTGCCGAGATCAGAGGCGGACCATCCGGAGCACGTCCAGCTGCACTGCCCGGTCGCTGGGAGGGCGACACCTAGCGCCGCTCTGGCCGCTCGCTTCCACGCACAACTTAGCTACCTGGCTACGCTTGTGGGAGGGGAGGGAGAAAACCAACAACAGTCTGATGAGCCAATGGAGTCTGCGAGCCGCGCCAATCTGAGCCCTTCCGCGCGCAGACGGGAGCTAGAGCTATTCATCTCCTTTCCTGTTTTCGCTGGTCCGCCAGTCACCAGCATCGTTCCGTGCTCTCCATCGTCGCGATTCGGCGGCCGTGTTGTCTTGTGTGCGCAGTGCGTCAGCAACAACAGAGAGCGAGAGCGAGAGCGAGAGAGCGAGAGCGAGAGAGCGAGAGAGAGAGAGTCTCGGATCACGCCAGGCAGCCACATGGGTATCTATTGTTTATTTACTTTCCAGTGATCGCAAGCGTTTAGTTGTTTGGAACCGGGTGTGATCAGTATTATCTCTATGATAAAACTGAAAAAGTGAAATGCATCCACTTTAATTCATATATCGCTTTTGATTCATGGTACGGCTGCTTGATTTTGCCACAGCGTACATAGTACATACACAGCCGATCTCGGCATGTTTCTGTTCCAGAACAGCAGCTGCAGTGGACACCAAAAATGCATTCATGTTCTGACAACTTATTCCAAAGATACACATATTTTACGACGAACGTTCCAGAGAAAGTATTTTCTCGCTCACAGATGCTCAGCAAGAAGCGCGCGATTGATTGCAACTAGCACGCTCACGATTTCTAATATAGCGCTGGCCAAAACCTGCCCCTTACATCCAAATATAATAATCTTAATTCCAGTCTCTGTCCTATTTATTATTTATTAGCGCAGCGAGAGTGAATGATACCACGGCATAGCCGTCATATTACATAGCACAAATTGCGAGACGACGTCGAGACCCGTATCGGCGTATGTTTCACAGATCCGGGTGTCTCGCCTCCACTCTCAATCAACCCTGACACACCATCAACCGAACCACGTCGGCTCCAATCATCTTGAGTTCCGTACTGAAATCTGATGGCCGGCCCGTCAGTTGATCATATCTGCCTGCGCGCACTACACCCGAGCTCAGCCTTAAGTGCACTGTGCGGCCTTCTCCAGATGACGCCTCTGAGCATGGCGCTTATCCTGCACCTGGATGCATAGAGCCTCTTGTTCGTGTACGGCCATTAGCATTTCAGGAGTCTGATGTTCTCGGTGGAGGCGGCGCTGGTCACCGTGGAGCCGTCAGACGACACCGTCAGCTCGAGCGCCCGCGACTAATGACCTGCAAAACAGCGAGTCGCGGCACGTCACGACGAGTGACGACCGTCACGTTTCAGTCACGAAGGCCGTTATAGAACAGTCACGGCGACTGTCATATAGCAGTCACGGCTGCCGTCACAGGTCACGACGGTCGCGTAAAATGCCACTACCAGCCACGGCGACCACGAATCATACCTCATAACGTTTCCTGTCGCACACTCATCCATAATAACAGTACATTCGCCTGTATACACATTACACATTTCTCACTCAGCATTTCTCACTCACTCGAAGCTCGAGCCTGAGACCCATCAAGCGTCACGACACTTGCAACGGCACCTGCATTAGCAGACATCCCATCCCGGCAACACATAAAGTTCCCCCAAGCAACCCACCTAGGGTCACTGACCTAGTAACGAAGCAGGACACAGCTGACCTGTGGATGCGTCGGTTGACACAATTACTGACCTGGACATAATGTGATCGTTTCTGATCAATGTCAATACGCGCGCCGGCGTATCGACGCCGTCGGCGAGCGGGACGCGGTCGGCCGGCAGGGCGCCGTCGGCGGGCGGGCCGGCGTCGGTCGGCGTAGGTCGGCGAGCCTCGTTCGGCTACCGGATCACCTTCGGCCGGCGAGCGACCGTCGGTCGTCGGGCCACCATCGGCGGGCAGAACGCCGTTGGCTGGCGGAAGCCCGTTGGCTGGCGGAACGCCGCCGGCTGGCGGGGAGCTGTCGGTGAGCAGGCCACCGTTGGCAGTCCCATCGTGGTCGCGTGGCGCTCTGAAACACAGTAAAGAGTTAATGACTCATTAGGGACCATATTATTTTCAAGTCCTATGCTGAATATCCCTAAGGTAATCTATTTAACTCACCAAGAAATATTCAGAGCATTCACTGGAAACATAGTCATGCAAGTAGGCCTTTAACTGCAATACTATATTTTTTCCTTATGACACAATATGCCATGCCATTCAAACAGCCCATTATGGTCAAACAGCAGACTGAGTGGAGCATAAAGCAATTAATCTGGTTGTAACTTGTAACACCAAAGGATTGTACAGTGAAGGATAGGTGGTGCCTGCCGGCCTTCAATGACAGGTTCAGGCTCCGGAGCTGGTCCTGGATCTGACTCAGCTGACTGCCTGAGGGTGGAGGGCAGAGAAGGACGCAGGTCGGGTTATATTGGCAGATGTTGAACAGTGATTGGTCACAACCATTTACCTATAAATTGATAAATTCACATATTAATGGGAAATGCATGTATGGGACCACGCCTCCATCAGGCGGCCAAGGAGGTCGCCCCTTGCCCCGCCTCGGCTCTCGGACCACAGCGGCAACCGGCCCCGGCCCCGGTCGACCTGTGGTCAGCCGGTGACCGGTCACAGTCATCACGCCACTCACCGAGGACGGGGGGACGCCATTATCACCTATCAGGGGGCAGGTAACACAATTGGCATTATATCACTGCCCGGCCTACAGAGTCGGTGGGATGCACAACTGACCTGGAGATGACGTGATTGTTTCTGGACAATGTCCGTATGCGCGCCTCGTAGCTGGTGATAACACGCTGCCATTTCTGCTGGGTGACGTCTGGCCCACAGCTGGATCGAACCGCGCTGTCTCCAGAACCACCGCCAGATACAACCTGGTAGATAGGATGATAACTCAAGAACCACACAACACACAATGAAGACAACAAAGGCGACAGCAGCGCATAATGACGATCTTATATCATTTGGCTTATTCAATGTCACCACAGGTTGCAAACACTATATTTTACTAGTCAGACTCCCATGGTGCCTGGTGGGCTGATGTGCCTAGCTGTACTCCGAATGTAAGACTTTCCAAATGTAACTTAAGTAAATGTAAAAAATCAACAAATAACTTGTCTAGAAAATAATGTTGCTAGTCTAAAACCAGCTTGCGCTCCCCCCCCCCACCCCCCAGGCCCCCACCCACCAAAAAGGCACCCAGGAGCACATGAACTGGAACACCAATGCACAATCACCTGCACAACACAGCACATACTCAAGGATGCCTGGTGCATGGTGGGTTTTGTAGGTCTACACAGCAATTTATGCTTAGCATGGGCTCTGGATCAATTCTTCCATATTCATGCAGGGCATACTGGTACGGCCCTCCAGCAAAAGAGTGGTTGGTTAGCCTATGTGCTTTTGATGTAATAACTTTGAATGACAGAGACACTCCTGTAAAATGACTCAATAGAAATGAGAAGAGGGTTCGTGCACACACTTCGGCAATGGTTTTCAACAGCCATTAGACGTATTCATCAATGAAGATCGCTTATTGTGATGTTGGCAACCAACCACTAAATATCTGGAGGGCCGTACACTGGTGAGTGGTGGGTAGGTACACATTTCCAGCTTGGTTGATATAGAATGATACGGATTAGTCAAACTAAGTGATGCATTTTGCTTGCCTTTTTGCCTAGCATTGTAGTCTGTTTCATACTCACGTCGTCATCTCCGCATCAGCATGACACTGCTTTGCTTCGCATACTCCATGCAGCCTCGGCAAATGAACCTCGATTGCTTTGAAGAATATAAAAATGTGCAGCATCCATTTGGGCACAGACTTGCTTTCTTGAATGCAAATCAAGGCTATGAATGAGCCAGGACTTGAGGCAAACTTTGCCCTGCCGTGTTGCCCATAATTGTGGCATGAAAAAAAAACACTGTTTCAGTTTCCTGGTTGTGGTGGCATTGCAAATTTCCATTCCAACCCATGCAAAGATCTCAAAAGACTAAAGAGCACCAGAAAAAGGAAACTACAAAAACGCCAACACCCCATACAATCTCTACACAACTCTTTTATGTTATGCGCTTCACAACTTCTACCATCAACAAGCTACACAATTTTAAATTGAATTTTAACCGAATTCCAATGTGCCTAATCGGCCTAATCAAAACAAACAAATTCGAAAATCAGGGATGTTCTCCGACAGCAACGTACACGCCGTTAAACCAATTAAATGAGAGCGCTGGCGTTCGCTAGCGATAGCAGTACAGTAAACTGTGCGCAGCTCCAGGTGATAATCATGGTCTGCAGTTTTCAACATCGAATTTCGTACTGAGCCCCAATTTATTTTGTATGAAACCTTACACCAGCAGATAGAAAATTTAATTTTGTATATTACTGAAGTATAAATAGATGCCGACTCGGTTTTATTTCTTAGTAATATTCCATTGATTGTTACAGTGTGACTTTTGGCAGCAAGGAAGATCTCACATTCTAGACCCAAAAAATATATCTTATGACACCGAAACTGCAATAAAACATGCTTACCTGGAAAGAAAATTTAATTTGCATTATGATAAATACCTTTTATGAGCCCATCTGCGGTAGGTTTACCAACTATGGATGTTTTTGTTCAAGACTGTTTGGTACCCAAAACTTTAAATTTCAAATTTGGAAGGAAAATTGACAATGAGCCCCAATTGTACCGCGAGTAGCTTAGTTGCAGCAGTTTAGTAGGGATACGCCCCTCGTATACGCCCCTCGACTTTTCGGCCGACCTTGTTTCTATGCTGTTTGGGTGTGGCCGCTACGCAACGCAATACAAGAAAACTTGGCTAATCTAACTTCTCTGCAAGATATCGATACATGGTGCCCTGGGTGAGGAAAACACAGAGAAATGATCAGCAAATTCATTGTCGATAAGCTAGAGAAGTGCCAAGGATATTCAGAGTGAAACTACGCAGCAAAACGATTGGATATTTTTGTGACGAAAGTGACGCAGAGCATCAAAGCAATTCAAGCCAATATTGAAGGTTATTTTAAAAGCAATTCAAGCCGAAAGCAAGCTCAAAAGCAAGAGGTAAGCAAAAAAAAAAAAAAGAATTGAAATACTTTCCATGTGATAATGCCTCTCTATCCACCACCTGAGAAATTTGATTGTAGAGCACCAGAGGATTGGCCAAAATGGAAGGAAAGCTACAAAATGTTTAGAACTCTACATCGATTGGATAGGGAATCTCAGGAATATCAGGTTACCTCACTGCTGTATCTCATGGGAATGCCAGACAGTGGTGAAATTCTCGATTCGTTTGGACTAACTGAAGCTGAAAGGGCCAACTTCGAAGTAGTGATGGACAAATTCACTGCATACTTTCTGCCAAAATCCAACAGTTCAGTGAAAAGGTCACAGTTTCATCAACGAAACCAGCATGAAGGCGAGACAATCGATGAATATGTCCGAGCGCTGTACTCAATGGCCCAGAGCTGCGGCTTTCAGCAGAAACGCGACCAGATCAGGGACAGATTCCTTGTTGGGGTCAAGGACACTGGTCTAATCGAACGACTTGCCCTTGAAACAGACCAGGAGCTGGATCACCTGATCAACTACGCAAAGAAATATGAAGCAGTGAAAAAGGCTGTGAAAGAGAAATCAGAAGAAACAAAGCAAGCTGATGCTGTGCAATGGTCAAAGCCCAATCTGCAAAGCAACAAAAGGAACTACCATTCAGATAACAGGAGAAACAACCAAGAAAGCAGAAACCAAAGACAGCAAGGTGTTGGCACTCGTCCAAATCTTCAGACAAACCAGCCAATGACTAGGAACGTGCAGGGAGCACACGACGCAGGCAACAGAAACCGGTACCAAGCTCCCCACTGGGAAACCAGTGGCAGAATGTGCAACTTCTGTGGCAGGAGTCATCGTCTCGGCAGAAACAACTGTCCTGCGTACGGAAAAACATGTGCAAGATGCAACAAGAGAAATCACTTCCCAGAAGTCTGCCGAAGCGCAGTACCTCATCAAGTGGCAGAAGTTCAAGCTGGAGAAGCAGAAGCTGGACATGCTGAGTCTGATGCATATTTGGGGCTCATTGAAGAAATGACTGGCTGCACAGAAATGAAGAAAGAGATGGACAAAGCAGAGGTCAGTGCAGTGGAACATGAACAGAACTCGGGGATGGTCATGCTGAAAATAGGCAAAGCGGAAGAAGAAATCCTGATGAAAATAGACACTGGAGCAGACGTCTCTGTCGTCAGCTATGACACGCTCAAAAAGCTGAATCTGGCTCACAGAATGCAAAAAGCGAACATCAAGTTGAACAGTCCCGGTGGCCAAGTGGACGTGCTAGGCAAAGTTGTCACGAAACTGAAGTCTCCAAATGAGGAAGTCGCAGACGTCGTGCTGTATGCTACACACAGCCTCGTCCGCCCGCTGCTAGGCAGAGAAGACTCACTGAAGCTAGGACTGGTAAAGCTTCTCAATGAAGTGAACATTCCTAAGGAGCTGTTTGCCAAAGAAGTTGGACTGTGGAAAACAACGCCGGTCAGCATCACGTTGAAAGACGGAGCTGTGCCCTACGCCGTGGTGACAGCACGCAGAGTGTCACTACCGCTGCAGCAACCCGTCAAAGAAGAGCTTGCGCGCCTGGAAAGCAGCGGTGTCATCGAAAAGGTCAGCGAACCCAGCGACTGGTGTGCGCCGATCGTACCTGTGCCGAAACCAAATGGCAAAGTCAGACTGACTGTTGACTTCAAAAAGCTGAATGCCTCTGTGAAGAGAGAACGCTACGAGCTGCCAACCTTCGTGGAGCTGAGCAATGCCGTTCGAGGATCTGACACCTTCAGCAAGCTGGATGCCACCAGTGGTTTCTTTCATCTCCCGCTGGCAGAGAAGTCAAAGCACCTCACGACGTTCCTGACGCCGTTCGGACGGTACCGCTTCAACCGCCTACCGATGGGAATCACCCTGGCTCCGGAAGTGTACCAACGCAAGATGGCAGAGATGTTGGACGACCTACCGGGAGTCGTATTCTTCCAGGACGACATCATCGTGCACGGCAAAGGCAAAGAGCATGACAAGCGCCTCTCTGCAGTCCTGCAGCGCATCAAAGAGACTGGCATCAAGCTCAACGAATCGAAATGCGAATTTCGCCGAAGAAGTGTGGCGTTCCTGGGTCACCGCCTATCCGCAGCTGGTGTCCAACCCGACAAAGAGAAGCTCAGAGCTGTGCAAGACATGCCACCGCCAGAAAACGTTCAGGAATTGAGATCGATGCTGGGTGCCATCAACTTCCTGACGCGCTTCGTGCCCAACGCTCAAAGCATCATGGGACCTATGCATGACCTCCTGAAAAAGGACGCCGAGTGGATCTGGGATCACCCTCAGCAAAAAGCTTTCGAAGACATCAAAAAGAAGATAGCCGAAGCAGGAGTCCTGGCGTATTTCGACCCGAAGTTGGAGACTGTGGTGTCTGCAGATGCAAGCTCCTATGGCATTGGAGGCTGCCTCATGCAAAAGAAAGATGGTGAGCTACGACCAGTTGCCTTCTGTTCACGCCGACTGACCAGTGCCGAAAGCAAATACGCACAGATCGAGAAAGAGTGCCTGGCAGGAGCGTGGGCGTGCGAAAAGTTCCACGGATATCTGTACGGTCTTCAACGATTCTCACTGCTTACAGATCACAAGCCGCTAGTGCCGCTCATCAACGCCAGAGACATCGCTGATACGCCACTCCGCTGTCAACGTCTACTGATGAGACTGGCAGCCTATGCTGGAGAAGCTGTCTACACGCCAGGCAAGCAGCTGCTCATTGCTGATCTCCTCTCACGCAAACCCGTCAGTGAACAACACTCGTCCGACGAGGACGTGGCGGAAATCGAAGCCCATGTCAACGCCATCATGTCAGCCTTGCCCGCAAGCCACGGCAAGCTTGAAGACATCGCGCAGCAACAACATCAAGATCGAAAGATCCGTCAGGTCATCAACTTCACTGAAATCGGATGGTCATCTCCTGTCCATCCTGACCTGCTGGAATTCTATTCAGCTCGTGGATACTTCAGCGTGTCCTACGATCAAACCAGCAAACCTCTCCTGATGTACGGGAGCCGAATTGTCATCCCTGAAGACATGCAACGTGAAATGCTACGAAAGATTCACGACGACGGACATCTGAGTCTGGTCAAGTGCCGACAAAGGATCGCCGAGTCAGTCTGGTGGCCTGGTATCAACGGCCAACTGAAAGCATGGATCGACCGCTGTGGGTTCTGTCAAGCACACAGACGGCGGCAGCATGCAGAGCCACTCCAGCCCACCGAGCTCGCCGATGGCCCGTGGAATACAGTGGGGGTAGACTTCGCTACCTATGAGGGCCGGATCTTCCTCATCGTCGTTGATTACTTCAGTCGCTGGCTGGAAATTCTTCACATGACGTCAACCACCAGCGTAAGCACGATCGACCGACTCAGGGGTCTCTTCGGACGCTTCGGAATCCCAGAGATTCTTCGTTCCGACGGTGGACCGCAATTCTCTTCTCAAGCCTTCGCCGACTTCTCCAAAACGTACGGCTTCAAGCACATCATGAGTAGCCCTCACAACCCGAGAAGCAATGGAGCTGTCGAGCGTGCTGTTCAGACAGCCAAACGTATCATTCAGCAACCGGATCCGACGCTGGCGCTTTTGGCCTACCGGAATACTCCACTGGAAGTCACTGGACACAGTCCAGCACGCCTGCTCATGGGACGCAATCTGAGAACCCGACTACCAATTCATCCGGTGCACATGAAGCCGCAATGGCCTGACTTCATCGAACTTCAGCATCATCATGATCTGCAAAAGCTTCGTCAAAAGGAGGGATATGACAAGAGGCATGGCGCAGCGCTCCTCGACCCTCCATCAGTGGGTGATGACGTTCGTGTGCGTCATGACGGCGAGAAACACTGGAACGGACCAGTGCGCATCATCGGACCAGCTGCGCAGCCAAACTCATTCATCATTCCGTCAGCTACCACGCAAACGCCTGTCGTCCGTAACCGACGTTTCATCCTTCCGATTCCACCCGATTCTCGCCCGAGTCCAGATGCTGCTCTTCCGCCAGTTACCCGACCAGCATCCTGGGACATCGCTGCTCCACAACCGTCTCGGAGCTCACCGCTGAGTGCATCACCGCAAAGTGCACCGTCGTCCTCGCCGCAATCGCCTCCGGCATCGTCACAAGCACCCGAGGAACCCGAAGAACTGCTGCCAGCAGCCGAACCGCCGCCACCGCCTGCTCAGCCTGCCCAGAGAACGGGTACAGCACCACCAACAGCAGCACCGGGCGAGCTTCCGCGATTCACGCGCAGTGGTCGTCGTGTGAAGCCCACAAAAAGTGCGGACTATCAGTATTACTAAAGTGGTGCGATCCGTAAAAGTTTTGGAACCTGACATTTATTGTTCCCGCTTAATTTGCATTACGCTTAGCAAGCTTGTATATTCCAGTGTGCGCTCTCGCCTGACCTGCGCGTCTATTGAAAGGGGGGAGGTGTACCGCGAGTAGCTTAGTTGCAGCAGTTTAGT